TTGGAATTTTCCCCGGTACTCCGCTCTCCCCGCCCCCGCCACTAACCGGAGCTTCTCCTTCTTTTCCTTGCAGCCGAAACTCCCGGGAACGTCCCCGGGGGACCCCCCGGCCCCTCTCCCCCCATCCCAAATTCCCCAGATGCCGTCCCAGCTTTCCCAGATGCCGTCCCAGCTTTCCCAGATCCCGTCCCAGCTCCCGGCTCGTCCTCCCTCGCAGCCTCAGCCGCTCTCCCGGCCTCCGTCCCGGCCGCATTCCCGGCCCCCATCCCAACCCCGGCCGCCCTCGGAGCCGCCGCGCCCGGAGCCGCCCCCGGGGCTCTTCGGGGTCCCCCCGGCTCCGTTCCCGGAGCCCCCCGAGCATTCCCAGTCCCCTCATTCCCAATCCCAGCATTCCCAATCCCAATCCCAGCATTTCCCGCTGCCGGGGATGAAGGCGGCGGCGGCTCCGGCGCTGCTGCCCCCGGAACATTCCCGGAGTTTCCCGCTGATCCCGGCGCCTTTCCAGCCCCTGGCCGGCCCCGCGGCCACGCAGAAGGCTGGTCCGGAGAGATTCCAGCAGGTAAATCCCGGGAATTCCCAGAAAAAACAGGAATTCCAAGGAAAAAATCCCGGGAATTCCCAGAAAAAATCCCGGGAATTCCCAGAAAAAATCCCAGGAATTCCCAGAAAAAATCCCGGGAATTCCCAGAAAAAAACAGGAATTCCAAGAAAAAATCCCAGGAATTCCCAGAAAAAATCCCAGGAATTCCCAGAAAAATACCAGGAATTCACACAAAAATCCCGGGAATTCCCAGAAAAAAACAGGAATTCCAAGAAAAAAATCCCGGGAATTCCCATAAAAAATCCCGGGAATTCCCAAAAAAATCCCGGTCCCGAGTGATTTCAGCAGGTAAATCCCAGGAATTCCCAGAAAAATACCAGGAATTCACACAAAAATCCCGGGAATTCCCAGAAAAAATCCCGGGAATTCCCAGAAATTCCCGGGAATTCCCAGAAAAAATATCGGGACTTCACAGAAAATCCTGGCCCGGAGAGATTCCAGCAGGTAAATCCCAGGAATTCCCAGAAAAATCCCAGGAATTCCCATAAGAAAATCCTGGGAATTCCCAGAAAAATCCCGGGAATTCGCAAAAAAATCCTGGGAATTCACAAAAACCCACAGCTCTGAGTGATTCCAGCAGGTAAATCCTGGGAATTCCCAGAAAAATCCCAGGAATTCCCAGAAAAATCCCGGTCCCGAGTGATTCCAGCAGGTAAATCCCGTAAATTCCCAAAAAAATCCCGGGAATTCCCAGAAAAATCCCAGGAATTCCCAGAAAAATCCCAGGAATTCCCCGAAAAATCCCGGGAATTCCCAAAAAATCCCAGGAATTCCCAAGAAAGCCCAGACCTGGGAATTCCCAAAAAAACCCTGGCCCCGAGCGATTCCCGCAGGGAATTCCCAGGAATTCCCGGGGAATCCCAAATATCCGGCAGGTAAATGCCGATGGAATTCCGGGAATTCCCAAACATCCGGGGCTGGGCAGGATCCAGCGGGTGAATCCCGGTGGGAATTCCCGGGAATTCCAGGATTTGATGGATAAATCTCAGTGGGAATTCCCGGGAATCTGGATGGATAAATCCTGGTGGGAATTCCCGGGAATTCCAGGATTTGATGGATAAATCTCAGTGGGAATTCCCGGGAATTTGGATGGATAAATCCCGGTGGGAATTCCCAGGAATTCCAGGATTTGATGGATAAATCCCAGTGGGAATTCCTGGGAATTTGGATGGATAAATCCCGGCAGGAATTCCCAGGAAATCTGGGATTGGATGGGTAAATCCCGGCGGGAATTCCCGGGAATTCCAGGATTAGATGGATAAATCTTGGTGGGAATTCCCGGGAAATTTGATGGAATTCCCGCGGATCCCGCAGCCCGCTCCCGGGAATTCCGGGCTTTCAGCCGGAATTCCGCCGCTCCTGAATCCCGAGGAAACCCCTGGAAAATCGGGAAAATTCCCGTCCCGAATCCCGGCCTGAGCTCAGATCCCGAGGGAGCGAGGAGCCGGATCCCGCTGGATTTGGGATCTCGGGAATTCCGGATCCCGCTGGATTTGGGATCTCGGGAATTCCGGATCCCGCTGGATTTGGGATCTCGGGAATTCCGGATCCCGCTGGATTTGGGATCTCGGGAATTCCGGATCCCGCTGGATTTGGGATCTCGGGAATTCCGGATCCCGCTGGATTTGGGATCTCGGGAATTCCGGATCCCGCTGGATTTGGGATCTCGGGGGAAATCAGCCCTTGGATCCCGCTGGATTTGGGAATTTTTGGGTGGTTCCTGATGAATTCTGGGATTTTTGGAGCCGTTCCTGATGGGTTTTGGGGATTTTTGGGGCGATTCCTGACAGATTCCGGGATTTTTGTGGCAGTTCTTGATGGAATTTTGGGAATTTTGGGGCCGATCCTGATGAATTCTGGGATTTTGGGGTCGTTCTTGATGGATTTGGGGATTTTGGGGGCCGTTCCTGATGGATTTTTGGGTTTTTGGGGCAGTTCCTGACGGATTTTGGGATTTTTGGGGCAGTTCCTGACAGGATTTGGGGTTTTTGGGGCCGTTCCTGATGAAATTTGGGGGTTTTTAGGGCCATTCCTGATGAATTTTGGGATTTTGGGGCCATTCCTGATGAAATTTGGGAATTTTGGGGCCGTTCCTGATGAATTTTTGGGTTTTTGGGTCAGTTCCTGATGAATTTTGGGATTTTGGGGCAGTTCCTGACGGATTTGGGGATTTTTGGGGCGATTCCTGATGAATTTTGGGGCAGTTCCTGATGAATTTTGGGATTTGGGGGCGATTCCTGATGGAATTTTGGGATTTGGGGGCGATTCCTGATGAATTTGGGGATTTTTGGGGCGGTTCCTGAGGGATTTTGGGCTTTTCCAGGTGCCCCAGGGGCTGCTCCTGCAGCCGAAGCCGCCCTCGTCCAGCCCAGCCCCGTTCCCGGCTCCGGCCGCTCCCGTCCTGGTTCCGGCGGCTCCGGGAACGCCCGGCCCCGCCCTCGGAGCCGGCGGCAGCACGGCCTCAGGTGGGTCCGGAATCCTGATATCCCGATATCCCGATATCCCGAAATCCCCGTGTCCCAAAATCCTGAAATCCCGAAATCCCGAAATCCCCGTGTCCCGAAATCCCAAAATCCCGATATCCCGAAATCCCCGTGTCCCGACATCCCGATATCCCGAAATCCCCGTGTCCCAAAATCCTGATATCCTGAAATCCTGATATCCCGAAATCCTGATACCCTGATATCCGAAAATCCCGATATCCCAAAATCCCTGTGTCCCAAAATCCCGATATCCCAAAATCCCCGTGTCCCGAAATCCCGAAATCCCCGTGTTCCAATATCCCGAAATCCCGAAATCCCGAAATCCTGATACCCTGATATCCGAAAATCCCGATATCCCAACATCCCTGTGTCCCAAAATCCCGATATCCTGAAGTCCCAATATCTCAACGTTCTAAAATCCTGATATCCCACTGTCCTGATATCCCGATATCGCGATATCCCAAAGTCCTGATATCTCAAAATCCTGATTCCCGAAATCCCAACATCCCGATATCCCGATATCCCGAAATCCCAATATGCCAAAATCCCGATATCCCACAATCCCGAAATCCCAATATGCCAATATCCCGATATCCCGACATCCCGACATCCCACAATCCCGATATCCCGATATCCCGACATCCCACAATCCCGATATCCCGATATCCCGACATCCCACAATCCCGATATCCCGATATCCCGACATCCCACAATCCCGATATCCCGATATCCCGACATCCCACAATCCCGATATCCCGATATCCCGACATCCCACAATCCCGATATCCCGATACCCCAACATCCCGGTACCCCCAGTATCCGCCCCCTCTCCCATTCCCATTCCCAATCCCATTCCCGTTTTCCCACTGCCATTTTCCCTCTCCCATTCCCTTTCCCATTCCCGTTTTCCCGAATCCCATTCCCATTTTCCCTTTTTCCCATTTTCCCATTTTCCCTCTCCCATTCCCTTTTTCCTGCTCCCATTCCCATTTTCCCATTCCCATTCCCATTCCCATTTCCCCATTCCCATTCCCATTCCCCATTCCCCATTCCCATTCCCATTTCCCCATTCCCATTCCCATTTCCCCATTCCCAATCCCATTCCCATTCCCATTCCCATTCCCATTCCCATTTCCCATTCCCCATTTTCCCACTTTTCCCGTTCTTTTCCCGCAGGTGCCGCCGCCCCGGCTGACTCCAAGCCCTTCCCGGCCGTTCCCGGAGCCGTTCCCGGAGCCGTTCCCGGATCCGTTCCGGCCGGGAAAGCGGCTCCGGCTCCCGGGAAACCGGGGGCTCCCCTCCCCCCCCCGCAGCCCGGCCAGGTGAGTGCTTTTCCCAATTTTTCCCAAATTTTCCTGATTTTTCCCGATTTTTCCCAATTTTTCCTGGTTTTTCCCGTCTTTTCCCAATTTTTCCTGTCTTTTCCCAATTTTTCCCGATTTTTTCCGATTTTTCCCAATTTTTCCCGCTTTTTCCCAATTTTTCCTGATTTTTCCCGATTTTTTCCAATTTTTCCCAATTTTTCCTGATTTTTCCTGGTTTTCCCTGATTTTTGCTGATTTTTCCCAATTTTTCCCGATTTTTCCCAATTTTTCCCGATTTTCCCGATTTTTCCCGATTTCCCCAATTTTTCCCAAATTTTCCTGATTTTCCCCGATTTTTCCCAATTTTTCCTGATTTTCCCGAATTACCCCGATTTTTCCTGATTTTTCCTGATTTTTCCCAATTTTTCCTGATTTTCCCCAATTTCCCCGATTTTTCCTGATTTTCCCTGATTTTTCCCAATTTTTCCCGTCTTTTCCCGATTTTTCCTGATTTTTCCTGATTTTTTCCGATTTTTCCTGTTTTTTCCGATTTTTCCTGATTTTTCCTGATTTTTCCCAATTTTTCCGATTTTTCCCAATTTTTCCCGATTTTCCCCAATTTTTCCCAATTTTTTCCTTGGATTTCCCCTTCCCTTTCCCCTCCCCCACTTCATTCCCAAATTTTTCCCCTTCTCTTCCGCATTCCCCAAAAATCCCAAAATTCCATGAGGAACTGCCCCAAAAATCCCAAATTTCATCAGGAATGGCCCCAAAATTCCCAAATTTCATCAGGAATGGCTCCAAAAATCCCAAATTTCATCAGGAATGGCCCCAAAAATCCCAAATTTCATCAGGAATGGCTCCAAAATTCCCAAATTTCATCAGGAACAGCCCCAAAATTCCCAAATTTCCCCCTTTTTTCTCCCAGGATTTTCCACTTATTTTATCTCTCCTTTATTTCCCATTTTTCATTCCCGATTTTCGTCACTTTATCCCAAATTTTCCCGTTTCTTTTCCCAGTTTTCCCGCTTTTTTTCCCAATTTTCCCGCTTTTTTCCCAATTTTCCTGCTTTTTTCCCCAATTTTCCCGCTTTTATTTCCCGGTTTTCCGCTCCATTTTCCGGATTTTCCCCTTTGGGGTCCCCCCCCTTTCCCAGCCCCGGGAATTTCCTGGGATTTTCCAGGTTTTTTCCAGGTTTTTTCCAGATTTTTCCAGGTTTTTCCAGGATTTTTCCAGTTTTTTCCAGGTTTTTCCAGGTTTTTCCCGTTTTTTTCCACGTTTTTCCAGTTTTTTTCCAGGATTTTTCCAGGTTTTTCCAGTTTTTTTCCAGGTTTTTCCAGGTTTTTTCCAGGTTTTTTCCTGGGTTTTTCCAGGTTTTTCCCATTTTTTCCAGGTTTTTTCCACGTTTTTTCCTGGGTTTTTCCAGGTTTTTCCTGTTTTTTTCCAGGATTTTTCCAGGGTTTTCCAGTTTTTTTCCAGGATTTTCCAAGTTTTTCCAGGTTTTTCCAGGTTTTTCCCCTTTTTTTCCCATTTTTCCGCAGGCGAAGCCGGGCGGGATCAAAGGCCCCCCCCAACCCTCGGGGGGCGGGAAGGGCCCCCAGGCCCCGCCCCTGGTGAGTCCCAAAATCCCGGGAATTCCCCCCAAAATCCCGGGAATTCCCCCCAAAATCCCGGGAATTCCCTCCCAAAATCCCGGGAATTCCCTCCAAAATCCCGGGAATTCCCCCCAAAATCCCGGGAATTCCCCCCAAAATCCCGGGAATTCCCTCCCAAAATCCCGGGAATTCCCTCCCAAAATCCCGGGAATTCCCTGCCAAAATCCCAGGAATTCCCCACAAATCCCGGGAATTCCAAAATCCTGGGAATCTGCCCCAAAATCCTGGGAATCTGCTCCAATCCCAGAAATTCCCCCCAAAATCCTGGGAATTCCCCCCAAAATCCCAGAAATTCCCCCCCAAATCCCGGGAATTTCCCCCAATTCTGGGAATTCCCTCCCAAAATCCCGGGAATTCCCCACAAATCCCGGGAATTCCAAAATCCTGGGAATCTGCCCCAAAATCCTGGGAATCTGCCCCAAAATCCTGGGAATCTGCTCCAATCCCAAAAATTCCCACCAAAATCCCAGAAATTTCCCCCCAAATCCCGGGGATTCCCCTCCAAATCCCGGAGATTCCCCCCAAAATTCCAGGAATTTCCCCCAAAATCCCGGGAATCCTCCCCAAATCCCAGGAATTCCCCCCGAATCCCGGGAATTCCCCCCCAAATCCTGGGAATTCGCTCCGATCCCGCTGTTCCCGCAGCTGAAGAAGCCGCCGGCGCTGCAGCCCAGTAAAGAGGCCTGGTGAGGAACTGGGAGCACTGGGAATTCCGGGAATTCCCGGGAATTTCGGCCATGGGGGGGGGAGGGGGGGGCGGGAATTGGGAATTCTGTCCCTGGTTGTGCCGGGATTTGGGAATTGGGATTTGGGAATTGGGATTTGGGAATTGGGATTTGGGATTTGGGATTTGGGATTTGGGATTTGGGAATTGTGTCGGGATTTGGGAATTGGGAATTGGGAATTGGGATTTGGGATTTGGGATTTGGGATTTGGGAATTGTGTCGGGATTTGGGAATTGGGAATTGGGATTTGGGATTTGGGATTTGGGAATTGGGAATTGGGAATTGGGAACTGGGATTTGGGAATTGCGCTGGGATTTGGGATTTGGGAATTGGGATTTGGGATTTGGGAATTGGGAATTGCGCCAGGATTTGGGATTTGGGAATCGCGCCGGGATTTGGGAATTGGGAATTGGGAATTGTGTCAGGATTTGGGAATTGGGAATTGTGCCGGGATTTGGGATTTGGGAATTGCGCCGGGATTTGGGAATTGGGAATTGGGATTTGGGATTTGGGAATTGGGAATTGGGAATTGGGAACTGGGATTTGGGAATTGCGCTGGGATTTGGGATTTGGGAATTGGGATTTGGGATTTGGGAATTGGGAATTGCGCCAGGATTTGGGATTTGGGAATCGCGCCGGGATTTGGGAATTGGGAATTGGGATTTGGGATTTGGGATTTGGGAATTGGGATTTGGAAATTGTGTCGGGATTTGGGATTTGGGAATCACGCCGGGATTCGGGATTTGGGATTTGGGATTTGGGAATTGGGATTTGGGATTTGGGAATTGTGTCGGGATTTGGGATTTGGGATTTGGGATTTGGGAATTGTGTCGGGATTTGGGAATTGGGATTTGGGATTTGGGAATTGGGAATTGGGAATTGGGAATTTGGAATTGGGATTTGGGAATTGGGAATTGGGATTTGGGATTTGGGATTTGGGAATTGCGCTGGGATTTGGGAATTGGGAGTTGGGATCTGGGATTTGGGAATAGCGCCGGGATTTGGGAATCGCGCCGGTTCCGAATCCCGGGAATGTCCCCGCAGCCTCCTGGAGCAGCTGCACAAGCACCAGGGCGCGGTGCTGCACCCGGAATTCCGAACCCCGTTCCGCTCCGTGGGCGACGCCCTGCGCCGGCTGCTGCCGTACCACGTGTACCAGGGGGTGCTGCCCGGGGAGCCCGAGTGCCGCCGCGGTGAGTGGGAAACACCGGGAAAAACACCCGGAAAACACCGGGAAAACACCCGGGAAAACAACGGGAAAACACCGGGAAAACACCGGGAAACAATGGGAATGTTGGGATATGGGATAGAGGTACCAGGGGGCGCTGCCCGGGGACCCCGAGTGCCACCACGGTGAGGAACCGGGAAAAACACCCGGAAAACACCCGGGAAGCACCGGAGAAAAACCCGGGAAACACCGGGAAAACACTGGGAAAAACTTGGGATAAACACCGGGAAAACAGCGGGGAAAGACCCGGAAAACACTGGGAAAACACCGGGATAAACTCTGGGAAGACAGTGGGAAAACACCGGGATAAACACCGGGATAAACAGCGGGATAAACACCAGGATAAACACCGGGACAAACACCGGCATAAACACCGGGATAAACACCGGGACAAACACCGGGATAAACACCGGGATAAACACCGGGATAAACACCGGGATAAACACCAGGATAAACACCGGGAAAACACTGGGAAAACACCGGGAAAAACCCGGGAAACAATGGGATAACAACAGGAAAACGATGGGATTTGGGATATTGGGATAGAGGTACCAGGGGGTGCTGCCCGGGGAACCTGAGTGGCGCTGCGGTGAGCGGGAAACACCGGAAAAAACACCCGGAAAACACCTGGAAACACCGGGAAAACACCAGGATAAACACTGGGAAAACCCTGGGAAACAATGGGAAAACACCAGGAATGTTGGGAATGTTGGGATAGAGGTACCAGGGGGCGCTGCCCGGGGAGCCCGAGTGCCGCCGTGGTGAGGGGAAAACACTGGGAAAAACACCCGGAAAACAATGGGAAAACTATGGGAAAACTGTGGGAAAACACCAGGAAAACACCGGGAAAACACCGGGAAAATAATGGGAAAAACCCAGGATAACACCAGGAACGTGGGAACGTTGGGATATTTCCCATTCCCCATCCCCCATCCCCATTCCCATTCCCACATTCCCCATTCCCAGTTCCCATATTCCCCATTCCCATATTGATTCCCAATTCCCATTCCCACATTCCCCATTCCCGTATTCCCTATTCTCGCATTCTCCATTCCCAAATTTATTTCCCATTCCCACATTCCCCATTCCCATGTTTATTTCCCACATTCCCGTGTTTATTCCCAATTCCCATATTTATTCCCCATTCCCAATTCCCGTATTTATTTCCCAACTCCCATCCCCCATTCCCATTCCCACATTTATTCCCCCCATTCCCGTGTTTATTCCCCCCATTCCCACATTTCCCATTCCCGCATTTATTTCCCATTCCCACATTTATTTCCCATTCCCGTATTTACGTATTTATTCCCCATTTCCCATTCTCACATTTCCCATTCCCACATTTATTTCCCATTCCCGTATTTATTCCCCATTCCCACATTCCCCATTCCCATTCCCACATTCCCACATTCCCCATTCCCATATTTATTCCCCCATTCCCGTATTTATTTCCCATTCCCACATTTATTTCCCATTCCCACATTTCCCATTCCCCCATTCCCATTGCCCCCATTCCCAATTCCCGCATTTATTCCCCACATTCCCGCATTTCCCATTCCCATATTTATTTCCCATCCCCGCATTTCCCATTCCACACCTTCCCACATTTATTTCCCATTCCCGTATTCCTTGTCCATTCCCGCATTTCCCATTCCCATTCCCCCATTCCCCATTCCCGCATTTATTTCCCATTCCCGTATTCCTTTTCCATTCCCGCATTTCCCATTCCCATTCTCCCATTCCCCATTCCCGCATTTATTTCCCA